TGTAAGACTGATTAATGATTTTTTTATATATATAATTTGGTTATTGTTTAGTGATGAGAAATGGGAAGAAGAGTTTCTTTTTCTGTAATAACAGGTGTTAAGTTACTGTAAATGCTTATACTTGTCTGGAGGGAGGGGGGAGTCACTTTTTATATGTCTTCCTTCTTCCTTTTCCTTTTTCTCTTTCTTGTTCTCTTCTTTGTTTATATATCTTTTCTAATTATGTATTAGCTTTTAATTATGTAAACCACTAATAAAAATATTACTGAAAAAAAGTATGTTGACATGATTTGGTCATACAGAAATAATGAATGAGGACTGAACTGTGAAACCTATATACAGGTAGTCCTCAGTTAATGACTATTTGTCCAGCAACTGTTCAAAATTTTGACGGTGCTGAACAAGGAGACTTATGGCTGGTCCCTGAAGTTGCGGCTGTCACAGTGTCCCCATGGTCAGGGGATTATGATTCAGGTGCTTGGCAACCAGTGCATAATTACAATGGTCGCAGTGTCCTGCAATCATGTGATCGCCATTTGTGACCTTCCCTGTTGGCTTCTAACAAGCGAAATCAGTGGGGAAGCCAGCAGGAAGTCACAAATGGCGATCATGTGATATTACACCTAATGACTGCGTGGGATTCGCCTAACGACCGCAACTGGAACTGCCGGAACTGCTGTCATAAGTTGGCACAGTTACATGATGTTGGACTTTACGACTGTGTTGCTTAGTGATGGAGTTCCGTGTCCCAATTACCATCATTAACCAAGGACTAGTTGTATGAAGGAAGAGCCAACAGGTGGAGAGGAGGGGGAAAAGTAAGAATTACAAGGTTAGATGGAGAGCAAGGCAAATGTTTTAAAGAATAAAAATGGTGTAAGAAGAGGTATATGGACCTTGTGGAAGCAAGGATGATTTGCAAGAATAGAAAAGTATGGAGAGGCATTGTGAATTGGGTGGTGTATATAACTAGATTTGACTATATTTCCTTTATTTTTTCTTACTGCATGACTTAATTGAATTCCAACAGACTTTCAACCTGAGGTGATTGTTTAGTGGTGGCCATGTGTGTATGGGGGAGGGGTGTTAATTAAGTTTTATGTGTTTTTTTCTTTATGTCAAAAGAGAATGGAGTTGTGAGTTTGTAAGTGTGTATACTAAGTATTTATTTCTATCTTGTGCTCTAGTGCCTTTGAAGGAGAATATACATATCACAAAGCCCACGGAGTATACAAATGTGTCGTTTGTGGAACTCCTTTATTCAAGTAAGTAGATTGAATATAGTTGCAAAGTAATTGTGTCTTTTTGTTCTTGAAAGTGACATATGGCTAGTTTGGGAGCACATTACTATTTTGTAGTTGTTACCAGACAGAAGTGGTAGATGTAGTCTGTTCTTTTAAGCAATGTTGGCTTGGAATTTTGAGATCCACACTATTAATACATTTTTGCAGGCAATTTCTGTAATAACCCAGGATAAGGAGACTTACCACTGCTTTACCTTTGACTGCTTTGCTAGCTTTGTGTGTTTGAGGCCTAGCAATAGGCAGACTGAAGACCTTGTGCTATCCCTAGATTTTTTTGCTGTTGCCTTGGTAGCCCCCCCGCCCCACCCCCCACAATTGACATTTAGCGGCAAACTGCTAAATTGTGACAGCACCATTTTCCACTGTACTTTGCAAAAATAAGCAGTAAACTATGGCCCTTATTTTATATAATGCTCGTCAGCCCATGTGTGAGGAGAACCAAAACTTCACCAGTCAGCTTTTTAGTGATGACCTTGTGCCTTCAGCAATGAAATACTGTAGTAAGTGTAGCTCTTTGCCATCTAAAAAAAAGTACTGGCTGCTAATGCATCCTTTTAGAACCAGACGAGACATGATGGAATTGTATGGATTCCAGATCCCCTTGTAATAATCTGATATCCCTGAGGCACATAGTAGTATATACAGTGGGGCAAAAAAGTATTTAGTCAGCCACCAATTGTGCAAGTTCTCCCACTTAAAAAGATGAGAGAGGCCTGTAATTTTCATCATAGGTATAGATGAGAGAGGCCTGTAATTTTCATCATAGGTATAGATGAGAGAGGCCTGTAATTTTCATCATAGGTATAGATGAGAGAGGCCTGTAATTTTCATCATAGGTATAGATGAGAGAGGCCTGTAATTTTCATCATAGGTATAGATGAGAGAGGCCTGTAATTTTCATCATAGGTATAGATGAGAGAGGCCTGTAATTTTCATCATAGGTATAGATGAGAGAGGCCTGTAATTTTCATCATAGGTATAGATGAGAGAGGCCTGTAATTTTCATCATAGGTATAGATGAGAGAGGCCTGTAATTTTCATCATAGGTATAGATGAGAGAGGCCTGTAATTTTCATCATAGGTATAGATGAGAGAGGCCTGTAATTTTCATCATAGGTATAGATGAGAGAGGCCTGTAATTTTCATCATAGGTATACCTCAACTATGAGAGACAAAATGAGAAAAAAAATCCAGAAAATCACATTGTCTGATTTTTAAAGAATTTATTTGCAAATCATGTACCTATGATGAAAATTACAGGCCTCTCTCATCTTTTTAAGTGGGAGAACTTGCACAATTGGTGGCTGACTAAATACTTTTTTGCCCCACTGTATTTTAGGTGTGTATTTAATGACCTCTTTATACAGGCCTTTCCCGTATGAACAATTTGTTTTTCGCCACTTGCTTTCACCTATTTTCTTAATGCTTATGTTTTTATACTAATTGCTTTTAATGCATTACGTATCTTCCAACAAAATGGATACCCATGCAACTTTATCAAAAAGCGCCTGACCACACAACCTGCTACAGCACAACCAGAACAACCTATGAAAAGGACAACACTTCCATACATCCAAAACATCTCAGAGACAACCAATAGACTACTACAACCACTTGGCATCACTGTAGCACACAAATAAACTAAAGTCTTCCAAAACATCTTAAGCAAATCAAAAAACCCATTAGCCCAGGGAGAAAAAACAGGAGTCATCTACAACCTACAATGCAAGGACTGCAACAGCCACTATGTAGGACAGACAGGCCAAAGACTAGCAGAGCGTATCCATGAACACAACTATCAGAAGCCATGATGAAAACTCCTTAATTTCACAACACATGGACAGACTCAACAACAGTTTAATGGGTAAACTATTAGTATTTACATCAAGCCAAATCCAAAAATGCTAGGGAATTCCTGGAAGCTTGGCATTCAGACAAATCAGCTATCAATAGATACATAGAGATAAACCACACTTACCCACCATTCAAAAGAGATAGTAAAAAACTAGGAAGGAAACAAAAAGACCAGAACACGTCTCCTTCAGCAGCCAACCCTCAGTTAAGCAGGGATCAACACCAGACAATCAGGCAGAAAACAATACTCTAATCAAGGAACCACCAAGGAGGTAACTACACCCCCACTAAAGCCAGCAGGCAAGCTACTAAACAGGCAGCAACCCCACATTCACTTGCACTGATGATGTTACCTAGTTGGGTAATGACACATCTGCAAGCAAACAACCAAGCTCAGAGAGCACCAAGAACTCCACAGTTCAACCTGAGCTACATATTTTTTCTTCTATTAGAACTTATTACTTATTAATTTACTACATTGTTGTATTTCTATTTGAATTATTCAGATTTGTGTTTGAGTAATTTCTATTCTGTTATTTGTATACAGCTTCCTATATACGGCTGTCCTTGAAAACTACTTGGAAGCTACAGCTGGTACAGGACATGCCACAGTATGCTATTTGAAAGCTGCATTGCTTGCTAATTACCTTCGAGGTGTAATTCAGCTGGGAGCTGGTTACCATTTGTAAAGCTTTTCAAGGCATAGGGTCTGGTTATTTGAGGGACTGCCTATCTCTGATAGTTTCTGCCCTTGACTGAAGATTGGTGCGCTCCTATCAGGGATAGTTGTCTTCATCCACTGAGTGTGCAGCTTTGGGAGGGATGCACATGGAGCAATGAGGGAGGAAGGGGACACCCACCTAATCAGTCAGGTCAGCTGAATCAACCCTGACAAACAGTGAGGTGACAGATGTCATAGCCAGATTGCCCTCGCATTTAGGCAAATATCACTGAGGCCCCAGAGTTTGCCACACAAAATGCCTGGCCACCAATCTCCCTCTCTGAAGCCAACAAACGAATTGAATCCCTCAGAGTGGGAAATGCCCCTTGTAGTGACTGTATCCTTCCTGAACTGCTTAAATTGAACTCTGCATGGCAGACACCTCTTGTCTCTCTTTTTACACTTACTGATCGCACAGGACACATCCCCAAAGATTGGGGATTGGCAATAGCAGTTCTAATTTACAAGGAAGCTAATAAAAGGGACCTAGTGAACTATAGGCTTATTAGCCTTCTGAGTGTGATAAGTAAATTATATGCGAAACACCTAAATCAAAAACTGACTGGATCAAATCTAATGGCATGAGGTCCAAACTCAATGGTAGACTATGTTTTTGCTTTACATCACTTGATTGAGAAACACATACTCAAACTGGCCTTCCTCAACTTTAAAGCAGCATTCAACTCCATCTCTCTGACTCTCTGTTATGGAGAAAACTTTTAGATACCTACAGTACATTGACAAGCAATTACTTTTCTTAATCCAAGAACTGTCTTCAGACACTTAACTCGAGATGTAACACTCAAGAAATGTTCTCCAATATTGTAGGCATTGAGAGAGTGGTGTGACAGGTGCATTTTGGTCCCCACTTTATTTAATCTCTGTAGTGGAACTCCTGGACTCCCCAGATTTTCATGCACCTAAGAGTGTGGGTTGCAATATATTACTCTGCGTGGACAACACTGCAATTATTTCCTGTATGCATATTGTGCTAAAACATATGGTGAGAACCATTGTCCATTACTGCACCATGAGCAGGTTGGACATAAATTACCATAAATCTAAAATTATTATCTTTGCCAAGAAATCAAAACAACAAACTTGGATAATTGAGCGGAATAGGATTGAATAGATGTACTCCTTTAAATATCTAATAGTAGACTTCCATGACAGGGGATCCATCATGAATATATCAAGCAAGTGGCTTCAAGATCTACACAGAATATCAACAGTTTTTTTTATTCCAAAGGAGGTGAACTGCTACCTCCAGGATTAAAGCTTTTTGAAGCTAAAACCATATAATATCTGACCTGCTCATTGCAAAGTACTGTTCAGGCAGTATGTGGACTCCTTATCTTGTTGGTATACCAGTCTTCCTGGAGACTCTTAGAACTATTATTAAACATGTGTTCAGTGGTTGATTGAACCTGAGAAAGCATTGTATTGCTAGTTCCATCCCTAATGTCTGCATTAAAGGTTTGCTGCTGCTTCTGCATAAAGGTTGTATGGTGATGCTTTCTACTATGTTTGATCATTTGAAAGGGAGGCAGTGTCATTTTGTTTACTCCAGCACTGATGTAAGAACTCCATTGGGTACTTCTGGGTGCTGCTAACTACAGCCATTCACTGCCAGTGCTGCCATTCCTTTATAGCACTTATCAGTATGGACTATTTGTGAGCTGGGTAAAACTGACAAGAGTTCTGCCAGCTAACAGATTGGCAGACTGGAGGATGGCTGGGAGCTTTACTCACACCATCACCTGCCCTACTGACTTGTCAGCAGGGCTATTTTTGGATAGAGGTTTACCATCCTTTCAATCACTTGGGCTTTCAGAAGACTAGTAGACCTGTTTCAGGGCAAAATATGCTGGCGTATGCTTTTGCTGACTCAAGGATTGGAGGAATACAGATTAATATGGCTGCAAGAAGAAGCCCTAGGGCTGTAATATGGTTTGAATTTGATTTAGATGAGATATTTCAGAATGCAGAGGAGCACAAACATGGAATCTGTCTGTGATTCATTAAAGCAGCTGTGTCTGTTTACAGGATTGCATGGCTGCTATACAAATACAAAAATGTTGAGTTTTTGGAAGAATGATAGAAGTGATACCACCATAAACAGTGAAGTTGAAAACCCAGTTGTACAGTCTGTCATTCAACTATTTTCTCCACACAAAGTCCAGATCATCCATGCATTCTTTGAAATTGTAGAAGTATCATAATATAAATTTTAAAAATCCATTTGCCTCCCCCCCGCCCATGAATGTGTTTTCTTTTGGGAGACAGTAGTGTCTATTACCCTTTTATTTTTTTTAAATAATTGCTATCATTACAATGTTATCATAATCCTTTGCACCAATATGTTTCCTTAAGAAGTTAAGAAAAGTCCTCATCATTAACAAGAATGTACTTCATCTTTTAATAGTTTTGATCTATGTTGTTTCATTAAAATGCAGTGTGTAAGATCATGGAACACAGGATTTTAGTTATTCAGAAGAAGAACCTAGACGAGGCTTGGTACATACTTAAAACCAATATAGATTTTTGAAAAAAAAAAGATGGTTGAAACTCAGTATCAATCTTCATTTCCTTATTCCAGCAAAAATAACCCCTCATCCCCCTTTCTAATTTTCACTAATATTCAATTATGTTAAAATTGACCAGGTAAATCAATGTTTTCAGTCACCAAATATTACTAAGATTATGTATTAAATGCATGCCAGACATCTGATACATCAATTCATCATATCATATTAATTGTCTTCAGATAACTATTAATAGTGTCTCTTGCAACTCTTGATACTTATTTGCACTTAAGATTGTTGTTGTTGTTAGACATTTAATAGGAGTACACTTACTGTTGAAAAAGAAGCTCTTAATTTGTTCTTAAACCATCTCTTAAAGCCTAGAGTAGGTGCTTCTGTCTTCAGAGATAAGGCAGATGATGCTACATGATCTTTTTTATGGTGATGAAATATTACATTCAGAGACCTGTGTGACATTAGTGGTCCATGACTGTAAAAGAATTTAACCATTGTACATTAAAGGATATGCATACATCCTTTATATACATACATATACATATATGCATATACATGCATATAAAGGAATATAAAGTAGGAAGAGAGGATGCAATATACAATACATTCCAGGTTTGTATAGTATATTCTGAAATAAAATTGATTGATTATATTCTGTTCTACATTTATTATAACCAGTTTGATGTGGGAGGGTGGGAAAGAATGAGAGGGAGCACCAAGTCATCAAAGATATTAGCCCTGAGCCAGGGATTCTCTCGTAGCCCAACCTATCTCAGAGAATTGCAGTTGTGATGATAAAATGAAGGGAGATCCCCATAGGGTGTGTTGCACCCTTGGAGGAAAGGTAGCATATGAATCTAACAAATACATAAGAAGGAACTGAACCCTGCCACCAGGGACATCATTTTGTCCAGTATTCATAAAACAATACTATTCATACCCCTTTGCAATAGATGAGTTAGAAGATCATTTATTTTTGTTCCTTTGCCATTAAATAGCACACTGCATTTCTGTAATTAGATGTTTGAAAACCAAATAATTAAGTAACAATAGCTAATTATTTCTCTCTCTGGAATCAGATTTTGAATGTCTTTTCTAATCTCTTCATCATTTTCCACATTTGCCTCTATTCCTATAGGAATTCTCAAGCTGTATAGCCTTTGCTGGCGATTCTGGGAGTTATAGTCTCAGCACATCTGTTGGCTACCATGTTGAGTTAGGTTGATTTTATCCCCATTAAACCTTCCCATTAATTGCCCATTAAATTTTTGGAATATGTCTGATGAAAATCAAAACAAGTCAACAAAATCATATCCTGAAATAGGCTTGAGGTTCTATAAAGTCTATATTGTTATTCTCCGGCATATTGATCTATACAGCAATCAGGGGGCATACTGTGTTTAGAAATGTGATACACACACACACACACAAAGGGAAATTACATAAATTAGCTTGACTTCAGTCAAACTTTCTAGCTTATGAGAAAGGTTAGGAATTTGGATTTCACTAGAGAGGATTGCTGACAGATTCTTTAGAAAGTAATACATGGTTTGTATTCAAAATGCACCACTTCCATGCTAATATGTGTGTTACATTTCTAGCAACATTGTAATACTACCAGGCCCTGCCGCCGCCGAGGGGCATTAAATTGTCATGGCTATTGATTTTGTATTGCTGTATTCCTGTGCTTAGCGTTATTAAAATAATCAGTTACTGTACTAGCTGAATAATGTTTGCTATTTATTTATTGTGGAACATACTGAGATTTCTCTGGAAATGTTACAAAACAAATAACCCTTTTTTCATATAGTCTTTTCCTCCACTCCATTCTCAGTTTTCTTGGCCTTCTGATTCTTTCCATAACCATCTAGTGACATATTCTAATTTGGTTGAAATGACGATTCTTTATAGATTTTTAGCTTTGTATAATTTTGTTTTTCTATATAATCACATTAAATATATTCTTTTAGTTGAAAAAATCTGCCTTTCCCAGTGACTTTGGGAACCTTTCCTTTGAAAATACCCATACTAAAGTGAAAGTTTAATGCATGCTCTTGCTGGTAAACTCTTGTATTTTGCTTGGAAGTTCTAACTATAAAATGATAAATTTTTCTCCTACTCCCTCCCATATACAGGCACACCCCAGCGGTTTTTATTTTGTGATATAAATCTGGCTGGAGCATGCCCACTAATTGGTTTGAGAATTAAATCTAGACAATGCTTCTTACAGCTGTTTGTTCAGATAGGCCTTGTCACTCGGTTAGTTCTGCTCGGCAGCACTTCAGTAGCATCTTGAAAGTAATTACCCAACTTACATTTTCCCATAGCTGATCTCAGAGCTTCAAAGGCTTCTGAATTTAGGACTGTTATTCACCTATATCTGAAACATGATGTTCTCACAAAGGCTAATTTTCCTCTTTATCCCTCTTCCTCCTTATTCAATGTACAGCCTTCTGGTGATAACTTTAATGCTTAAAATACTACAGGATACAACATATAACAGAATGTTTTACATTTATATTTTTTTAATCAGTAAAAATTCACAAGAAGGCTGAATGTCCAACTATTTGACAGGAAATAAACTTTAATTCAGAATGGGTTTGAATAAACAAACTAATAAAATAACTATCCAATGATGTTCTCCAAAGGAATGCTCATCAAGTATAATATAATAGTATACTTTTACAAATGAAATATTTAAAATGTGCTGTTTGTAATTCTGACATTGTGTTTTTAACTTCGGTGTTTCTTGCTGCTTTTACCAATCTTGTAAATGAAAATGTATTGGATCAAATGTGTTCATAAGCAAGGTGCGTTAACAAAGATTCTATGGCTGTTGCTTGGGATTTAGCTGTTTATAGTCAAAGATTATACCAACCATGTTTTCCTTTTGTTTTGTTTTAGATCTGAAACAAAATTTGACTCCAATTCAGGTATGTTCAAAATCTTATGTAGAACATGCTGTTTTCATATTTCAAAAGACAAATTTATCTGTTAATGTTAGTCTTAACTTTAGATCTGGAATAGGCCAATTTTAAACCAATCTCAAGTTTCAGAATGTGAGTGGAATTTTTTGTCCCTTTCATATCCAAATTATTAATTTTATTATTTTATATTATGACGACTGAAGCCATGTCAGTTCTGCATCAGCTTTTGAGTGATATGAGGCTGAAAAAAGGGAACTTTAAGAATACAGGCTAATCAAAAAAGACATACAGGTAGTCCTCAGGTTATGATGACAATTGAGACCGGGATTGCTGTTGTTAAGCAATGTGGTTGTAAAGCGCAACATCACATGACCATGTTGCTTAGCAACGGTAATCCAGGCAGTCCCAGTTGCTATTGTAACCCCAAGATGTGTGGGTCATTAAGTGGGAAGCAGCAGGAGTCCCAGGTAAGGAGTGTAGGTAGGGATGCCACAAGGAGTGGGGGAGGCACTGGGAGGCCCTGCACAGGCTGCACGTAAGTTGGGGGTTGGGGGTGCTGCAGTGTGGCCCGAGCTCAGGAAGGTCGAGGGAAGGAGGGTGCAGGTCCATTTGAGTGCAGGGAGGCCAAGGGAAGGACAGCGTGGTACAGTCTGCAAGAAGGCCGGGGGGGGGGACTTACCAGAGCGACTTGCGACTTTTTCTGCCAGCTTCCCCATTGACTTTGCTTGTGGAAAGCTGGCAGAGAAGGTCACAAATGGCAATCATGTGAATGTAGGATGCTGCAATTGTCTTAAGTGCTAGTTGGTTGCCAAGCACCCAAATCGTGATCATGTGACTGCGGGGGCACTGTGATGACTGGAACTTTGAGGACTGGTAATAAGTACTGCTAGTTCAGTGCTGTTACAACTTCTAGTGGTTGCTGAATGAGTTGGTCAGTAAGCGAGGACTACCTGTATATGTTCCTAGAGGACAAGTCTGTTTCATGGACAAAAAGTCTGAGCAGCCTGTGCTTAAGGAAAGAAATTTGTCATTAGCTGTTCGTGTTATGTCTATGCACACAGTCATATCAGAAAAGGCGAGTTCTCTCTAGGTAGTTGACTGAAATATATATTACTTTTATATTTATATATTGATGTTTCCAGTTATAAAAAGTGGAACATTATAGCAGTCCATTTAAACTCAGCAAGGAAAATAAGCATTATAGTAAACAGACTAACTTTCTTAAATTGAAACAATGTCAAAATAATCTAATTGCAGTTTGTTTCTGTAGCATAAGTTTTCCTGTTTAAAACAGTTTTCAAAATTACTTCCTGTAGTTATTTGTATTTATGATTTTTAAATTGGATTTCTAAACAAAAAGACCTTTTCAAAATACAGTAGATTTGCAAGTAAAACCACAATACAACTTAAAAAACAGACTACACTTAATCATATTAACACCTAAAAAGCTCTCACTGAACAAAAAATAAATAATAGCAATGGTTACAATTCCTTCTTGAAAATAAAGAATAGCAACTTTATTTGATTAAAAACTGATTTGAACAGTCCATCTTTTCCTTAAAAAAACTTTATAATAAAAGTATTTAAAGTCATTATTTATTTTAAAGTAATAATTAAGGTAGTCAGCTATGTAAGGCAGTTCCACCCAGCATTAACCAAAGCTTCTTAGGAACATTTCACAAAGTATGTGTTATAGTAGTTAAATCTGCATATATCTAGGGGATGAATCACTGTGGCAAATTAGCTACAGTAAAGGCACCTTCAATCTATCATTCTTAAATAATAAAGAGTTCTGCAATGTAGACTTTCTATAAGAACAGAAAAGAGCATGATTATGGTTCAGCTTACAGGTCTCAATATATATTAAGTTTAAAAGGCATTTGTGGCATCAGAGGAAGATAGTGTGGTACCCAAAGGCACCATCTTTGCTCAGAGGGTTCTCCCTAGTTCCTTGTCTCCCCTAGATTTTATATGTTTTTTTTAAAAAAATTACTTTAAAAATTATAAAAATAAGTATATGTTGCAAAGAAAGCTGCAGATCATAGCATTTTTATTCAGAAAATTGTCTTGTGGCCCCACATTAGCCACAAAAGCATTCTTAAAAATAATTGGAAAAAAAACAATAATAGAACTGGGTGGCTGCAAACCCATAGCCAACCTGCCTGTTGTTGTTTAGTCGTTAAGTCGTGTCCGACTCTTCGTGACCCCATGAACCATATTGCGCCAGGCCTTCCT